TTTGTTACAATATAATATTCTAATACCAAAAAAAGTACTTACGTAGCGTGAAAATATCTTTTGTGATGTAACTCTTTCAAAAGTACATAAAAATGGTTGCCAGCAGGGGTGTACATGTAGATTTATTAAATACACCTTGTGCGCCACCTAGAAACCAAATCTAGAAACCGACACTCGAAATTTTTGCTCTGTTACAATCGTAACCTGTTACAATTGACCCCACTCTCCCCTACTCTAATTTGAACTGATAATTTAAAAAATATTATACGGTCACAGTTAAAATGTAATGTTTGCATAAAATCATGCGATGAAGTAAAAATTGTTCCTCCCACTGTTCTTCAATTTAGATAGTATATTTTTAATAGATGCTACTTCTGATTATTAACTTCCAAATCAAGGATATATGAAAATCATAAATTTGAAACTTCTAAAATCTTTGAATGAATGAAGGCTGTATTATAAAATTCTCGAAAGTTCTACCATCAACTCATGAACCAAACAACGGAGAAAAAGAATGAGGGGAAAAAATTTAATCAGCACTCTAATCTACTATCATAAATACTGATGTTACAGAAACAAAACGCAAACATATGCATCAGTTGCAAAAACAGTCTAAGGAATTGCAGTACACTATTTAAGTAATTGCAGCGAAACTTTTGAGCTCGAGTAGTTAATGAAGTGATATATTACCTCTTCAAGTTTCGTGAGATTATTTACTTAATACATGATTCGTTAATAAGCACTTAAATTGAATCAAATTATAAAAGGTCAAAAATACTCAACACTTTAAGTAACATATTTTTAAAATTACAGAGCACCCAAAAAGGACAAGGGCCAAATTAGCCACATCGGTCTTTTTTAGTTTAAAGCATCAATATAATCTTAAATAGTTGTAGTTGCAATTCTCAAAATATTCGTTGACCTAATTATCTAATTCAGCGAGATATACTTTTATTTATTATCGAAAGGACACGAATATAAGGTGCGTAGAGTTTTTAAAATGTGCTTAAAAGTTCTTATTTTTGATTTACATTTTTTAAAAGCCCGTAAAGGGACTTTTGTTTACTCGGGGTTTGTAAAAAATTTGCTTAATTTTCTATCTTTCAAAAATTGATTTTTCTTCTTTGCCATGTCGATTGTCGTTCTAAATTACCAAAAAATGCTTGATTTTCACAATTTTCTCTGCAATATTTAACTAGTTATTTTATCATGAATATGTAAAGTTATTGATATTTTTTTTAAATTTTATTGATTTTATGTTTATAAATTAAGAACCTTACACGGTAGAAAAAATAATTTTTATTCCTGCACAGATCCTAATTATGATTTATTTTGTTTTGGAAAGTGATTAAAATATTTTTGAGTGCTTGAAAAAAGCTTAAAAGGTGCTTAATTTTTGTCGAAAAATCTGGCTACGCATGGAATATTTCATGGGAGACGTGTTGAAAACACCTACCCAACTTGGATAAAATTCCGACACGGTGAAAATTCTGGTAAGTCTCATGGTATACTTTTTATTTAGAGATACTGTCAACTTATTATAACACATTATCATAACTAATTTCTACACAACCAGAAGTTGTACCGAACAAATAAAATTTACATAAGCAAAGTAAGTTTTCAGAAAGTAAGTTTCGTTTTCTATGCGTAAGAGGATACGTGTTCGTTTTACTGGGTCACTAGCGAGCGAAAAAAAGGCTTTTTAAGATCGCTGTCTTAGGTTTCATTTTTTTTAGTGAGAATCCTAATTATTTAAAGCCTCAGAGCAACTCTCTGCATGCGACACACGGTCGATAATATACAGTTCTTGGCCAAATTATGAGACGCACTGTAAGATTCTATGTAAAATCTCAATTATCAGGTGTTACCATACAACTTTATTGTTTTTACAAGACTAAAACCAGTTTGTACCTGATTACGTTCGTTTATCAGTTGGTTAATTTAGACAATATATAAGATAAATTAGACGCAATAATTATTCTATATAATAATAATTATTCCATATAATTATTCTAATAATACTGATTCTATATAAATATAGAATAATTATTATATCAGGTTAGGGGTCAGTTTAGAAGAAATTTGGGTCCGTTAACGAACCCTTCACAAAATATCTTTTCATAAAAACGGACCCTTCACAAGAGACACTCGAAAGACATTTGCGTATTATTGTAAAAGGGCGGGAAAAATTGACTGTTGCTGAGTGTTCAGCTATTATAAATATTTTCAAATCTACTGGCAATCGACATATATTGCTCTAATATTTTGTTAATCATGTTTTTCTGCTTTAATTCTAAGGCTGAGTTTGATCTCATTTCATTTATATTATGTATCTTAACCTCTTCGAAGTAAAAAAAAAAAATTCTAAATTCCAAATATAGTATTCTAAGAAAAATATTTCTACTTCTACAAACATCGTGTGTACATTCTTACTGATATTAAATGATATTTTTTTGTAAATAAATAATTGAGCAATATATTCATTATTCATAAAATTAATTGATAAAATATTATGTAAATGAAAATTAACTTATATCAATTTAGAAAAAGAAAAAAACTATTATGAATTTAAGAATTGTTTAAGTTTACTTAATGTGTAACACATTAGAAGTGATACATATCTAAGTTGTGTTACTTAAAATATGTCAATTGAAATTATTAAAAATGGGAGTGATTTTGTTTCTATTATTCGTCCAAAATGAATATTTTGTGTTGTGCAGTATAGGCTAAATACCAACTATTTGTATGTTGCCTCTCTAATTTAGTTGCAGCAATAGCTGTTTATTTTTTGAAAATTTAATTTTCTTAATTATAATTTTACAGTGTTGAGCATAATCTTGTATCTCTTTGCAATTTAAAAACTCCTTGAAAAGGAGCCTATTTGCACAAAGTCACAAAACACAACCCTGGTTGAAAGAATGTGACTCAAAGCTTATTTTATAGTCACAAATTACGAGTAATTTTTTCAAAATTTTACAAAAACGGGACCTTTTGCAAAGTGTTTGGACAGACCCCTGCAAGTATTACATTAGTATATTATAATAATTAGACCAAATTATTAGACGCACTGTAGTGTTTTAATAATTACATGATTTGCACGAGTTTATATGTAATACTTTTATATTTAAACATGCATGTAATGGGTTTTTATTCATGAGATTTTTATATACTTCCCATTTGTATTTTTTTAACGTATTGCATTACAATGTTAATCAATAGATACACAAACATAAACAAGCGTAAACCGGTTTCAGATGCGTGGAAACAATATTGCTGTATAGTTATCACCTGCTAATTAAGATTTTGCGTAAAATCTTATAGTGCGTCTAATAATTTTGCCAGGGACTGTAAATTCTTAAAGCTAGGAAAACTAAAGCCTGTAAAAGTCTCCGCCAAATTTGTAGAGAGTACCATTACGAAAGAAAGGTTGCATTGGCGTTGTATTGGGAAAATCTCCCAAAAAACTCAAATAAGAATGTTTAGCTACTTCACAAAAGTAAATCTAATTGATGCATTTTTAGTATTTGTGGCATGCCGTGAAGGCCCATCTGATAGAGCGTTCGCCTTCCAATGAGGTGGACCGGATTCGAATCCCAGCGATGGCTAATCGATAGGAATGCCGCATCCTGCCTGCACTGACCACAGTTCTGACGTAAAATATCCTCAGTGGTAGACGGATCATGGGTTATAGTCCCTTTGCCGTCAGGCTAACAGTGAGATATTTTCCTGTTCTTCCTCTCCATGTAACGCAAATGCTGGTTAGTTCCGTTTGAAAGTCTCCCACGACAGCAAATTTCTCCCAATTCTTTATCCAGGAGTTCCATTGTCTTTTGGATTGGGGTCAAAATTACAAGGATACGGAGTTGAACAAATTATTGTAAACCCAAAAAATTGAGTGGGCTGTTCAACGACAGTTATAAGCATATGACACCACTAATTTAGTATTTTTTCTTTTCCACAGATACTCCAATGTGCGTACACAAACATAGGCGAAGTTATGGTGTTGGAAAAAACGAAAAAATTAATGTGAGTTGCAATGTGGAGTCTGATCCCGAAGTGATTGAATTTTGGTGGAGATTCAGCAATCCTCTGAATGAGACAAGAGAGATTAGGACGTTCAAAAATGACGTGAAAAAATCCAAGAGTGTTGCAAGATACATTCCATTAAACGAAAACGATTATGGCTCTCTGATTTGCTATGCAAGAAATGCTGTCGGAATCATGAGGCAACCGTGCATTTTTGAAATAACTCCAACAGGTAACTATTATCTTTCTTATACTTACGAAGCTACCATACTTGAAAATATCAAAACATAATCTATAGAATAATTCTATAGATTCCGTTTCGCATGGAATGTTCAGAGTGATTATGAAATTACTTTGACGACATAGGACCTAGTGAAAGGCATTTAATTTGAGGGAATGAAATAAAATAATGTTCATAGGTATTATACCCATGTCAATATTCTTGATGGCTTATGTTTTCAGTGTGATTCATGATGGTCGATCATTTGATGATCACCATCATCCAACATTTTCGATTATGCTTTCATGGTTTTTGATATGCCAGCAAACTTCCATCATTCCATGATGGAAAATGCTACTTTAATACTATGATGGTTTTACTGTCTAAATATTTTCCGATGGTTTTACAGGACATGCAGGTTTTACTGTCTTAAACTGACTAAACCTGTCCTAAACTGTTTTAAATTGTCCTAAACCTTGAACATTGGTAAAAGGTAAAAATTCTATATGTGTAATCATTGTGCACATAATAATTACATACATTAATAAATACTTGATACTTTTTATACAATTTACTTATACTTTTTACAATTTACTTATACTTTTTACAATTTACCTATACAATTTACTTATACTTTTTATACAATTTTTTATACAACAACTTATTAAAGGAAAATTATATAACATAATAGGAAAAGATTTATAACTTTTGAAGCTGCACAATTCTTTAAATAACAAAAGTAAATCCTTTAAATATGTTTTTAATACTGATAAATTATGTTTTTGCTTTTGTATAAATAATGCAACATTAAAAATAATGATAAGTTTTTTAATAAAACAAAAATTTGTAATCATTTTGTTTCTTGTCCAAAAATTAACCTTTTACTTCTCACAATATATTTTTTTAAGATTGCGACATAATTTGAATAAAAGAGTTTTGGACCGTTTTGAACAAAGAGGTTTTGGGCTGGACTGTTTAAACCGTGGATTAATCCATTACGTCCAAAACCTTGCTCTTCATAAAGTTCTCAGTGAAGAAAATGAATGTGTATTAAGAAACTGTTTCTGACCTTTGTTATACGAAGATGCTGAGTACCTTTCGAATCTCAAGAAAGTGAATACAAGTTTGTATTCATCATCTAAACATTCACATAGTTTTATCTATTGCAATAAAATTATAAAATGATAAAAGAAGGCTGAGACGGTAACACAATGAAAATATTTAAAACACAAATCTGTGTGTTTTAGATTTTTAAGTTTCTTGGCTTCAGAGCGAGTGCGTCTAGAATGCTTAATACTATTAGTAATATTAGTAACTATTAGTAGCTTCATAATATTACGTAACCTTTTGAATTTGGTGCAAAAATTAAATGAATTAATTTAAAAATTGTCTGAAATAACCGTCGTTCAGGTTGTGGTACCCGTACATGTTTGATGAAGGGAAAAACTCGAAACGGATTAAAGTTTTACCAAATCATTTCCTATTCTTTATCTCTTTTGTAACTTTTGTCTACATACTTAAATGTTTATTCCAAATCTAAGATCAATGTCCCATTTATCTTGTAACATTCTTATTTTTTCACGTTGTACACATTTTTTTTTATTGGAGTATTATGCTATTGTATTCGATTTTTTTTCATTTCTACAATCATTTTCTTATTCTTTAATCATTTAACTTGTTTATTAGTGTTTAAAAGATTTATGACATATATTTTCATGACAATAATTTAAGACCAATTTCCCATTTATCTAGTAACATTCTTATTTTTTTCATGTTCAACAAAAACTTTTTATTCGAGTATTATGCTATTGTATTCGAATTTTTTTTCAATTCTACAATCAGTTTTACCCATTGGCAAAATGGGTCTTGTTTTCGGTTTGATGGCGCGCTCACTTTATTTGGACGTCATGACATTTTTCAACTGAGTTCAAGAATCAGTGCTCATGCGCCGGCATTGCATGCGTTGCTAATTTACATAGACAGGATATGAAAACCAATCCGTTGACAAACATCAAGTGAGACAGTTTTTACAACCCATGATTTGAAATGTTGTGGCGTTTATCGGAGTCAAACCAAAAAAAAAAAAGCAATTGACCAATGGGTAACCAGTGATCGTAATATGGCGATCACAATTTTTTCTTTAAGTTTTCTTTTTATTTAATCATTTAACTTGTTTGATATTATTTAAAAGATTTATGAAATATATTTTAATGACAGTCGTCTGACAAATTATTCCTCTATTGTCTAACAGATTCTTGAGTTATTCCTTTTTATGTCATGTATTCATAGCAATCGATATAATACAACGAGTAATTATGATTTGAATCATCTCCCAGGTCCTCCAGAACCATTACAAAACTGCACCGTCAGCAACCAATCATACAATTCTTTATTCATATCATGCAAAGAAGGGTATGATGGCGGAAGAAAACAGGCCTTTCACTTAGAGATGTACAGCGTCAAGGAAGAAATATTACTCGTCAACATATCATCAACCGATAAACCAAGTTTTCTAGTAAAGGGATTGCCTTCCCACGTTTCGTTCATCATTATAATTTATTCATCCAACTCAGAGGGTCGAAGTTCATCAGTAGCACTCACTGCAACTACATTATTATCAGGTGAAACATTGACAGGTAGCGTTTAATTAATTAACTTTAAAATTCATTCCATTATGAAGGGTCGATCCTAGAATAGCAAACACCTTGGCGATTTTTTTAAAAATCTCGCCAAGCAAGTTTTTGAAATCTCGCCAAACTATAGGTTTCCGGAAGATATTTCGGGGAGATTATTTTGAACGTTATTTATTATTATTATTATATTTATTATTAACGTTATTTTTATTTCAATTTTATTCTGATCTCTTGCTGTTAGAATCAACGTTATTATTTCATTTTTTAACCGTTATTTCATTTATTTCCTTTATTATCTCATTTTTTATTTTTTTATGCAGCACCGGTTATTTTTTTTCGATTAAAAATATTATAATAAATTTATAATAAAATTGTTTTGTTTTTTTTAATAATCAAAAAGCAACGTTGATCCCAGTAATACAAGCCAACTTGGCGAGANTTTCGATTTTCTTTATGTTGGACCATAAATTAGTCTGAATTCGCAAATAGCGATGGTGGTCGTTCATGATCGTTCCAACATTTGATTTCTTAGAAACTATGATGGAACTTTCTGATGGTTTAATATGAACAAACCATCAAAACAGGCTGCTATTCTTTTGTTGGACCATCGTGAATCAGTTTGTATTCATCCTCTAAGCATTCTTACAGTTTCATCTATTGCTATAAAATTATAAAATGATAAAAGAAAGCTGAGTTGGCGTTCATATATTAGAAATATACTGGATAAGAAAACAAAAAACTAAGTTATAGAATATCATCAATTTGGTAACTTATAGGCGGTAACACAATGAAAATATTTAAAACTCAAATCTGTGTGCTTTAGATTTGAAAGTTTCTTGGCCACAGATCTAGTGCGTCTAGAATGCTTAATACTAACTAAACGTAACGTACTGAACTTGGTGCAAAAATTAAATAAATTAATTTTAAAATAGTCTGAAATAACCGTCGTTCAGGTTATGGTACCCGTACATGTTTGATGAAGGGAAAAACTCGAAACGGATTCAAGTTTCACCCTTTCATTTCCTATTCTTTCTTGTTTGTAACTTTTGTCTACATACTTAAATGTTTATTCCAAATCTAAGATCAATGTCCCATTTATCTTGTAACATTCTTATTTTTACATGTTGTACACATTTTTTTTTATTCGAGTATGATGCCATTGTATTCGATTTTTTTTCTTCCAATTCTGCAATCATTTTCTTATTTTTTTAATCATTTAACTTGTTTGTTATTGTTTAAAAGATTTATAAAATTTATTTTCATGACATCTAAGACCAATTTCCCATTTATCTAGTAGCATTCTTATTTTTTTCATATTCTTCGCAATTTTTTTATTCCAGTATTATGCTATTGTGTTCGATTTTTTTTCTTTCAATTCTACAATCATTTTCAACCATTGGCAAAATGGGTCTTGTTTTGGGTTTGACGGCGTGCGCAATTTATATATACGTCATCACACTTTTCACCTGAGTTCAAGAGTAATAGTAAACAGTGCGCATGCGTCGTCATTGCATGCACTGCTATGGCGACCGCTGCTGTTTGATAATTTTTTTAGAATTCTTTTTTTCTTTTTATTTTCACCTTTTTGTTTTTTTATTTACGTAATGTTAATTTAAAATATTTTAATGTTCTTTTATTATTAACTTATAATTACTGTCCTGACGGTGATTTTAATATAAACATGAATACTGTAGAAGGAAAGGTAATTTGCGACGTCTTAAAACACGTCTATAGGCAGGATTTGAAAACCAATCCGACAACAAACATCAATGGAGACAGTTTTTGCAACCATTCATTTGAAATGTCGTGGCGTTTATCGGAGTCAAACCAGAAAAAAAGCAATTGACCAATGGGTAACCAGTGTTCATAATGAGGCGATCACAATTTATTTTTTTTTTTTTGAAGTTTTCTTAGTCTTTAATCATTTAACTTGTTTGAAATTACTTAAAAGATTTATGAAATATATTTTCATGACAGACGTCAGATTTTTCTGACAATTTATTCCTGTATTATCCAACAGATTCTTTAATTATTCCTTTTTATGTCATGTATTCATAGCAATCGATATAATACAACAAGTAATTATGATTTGAATCATCTCTCAGGTCCTCCAGAACCATTACAAAACTGCACCGTCAGCAACCAATCATACAATTCTTTATTCATATCGTGCAAAGAAGGGTATGATGGCGGAAGAAAACAGGCCTTCTTCTTAGAGATGTACAGCGTCAAGGAAGAAATATTACTCGTCAACATATCATCAACCGATAAACCAAGTTTTCTAGTGAAGGGATTGCCTTCCCACGTTTCGTTCATCATTATAATTTATTCATCCAACTCAGAGGGTCGAAGTTCATCAGTAGCACTCACTGCAACGACATTATTATCAGGTGAAACATTGACAGGTAGCGTTTAATTAATTAACTTTAAAATTCATTCCATTATGAAGGGTCGATCCTAGAATAGCAAACACCTTGGCGATTTTTTTAAAAATCTCGCCACGCAAGTTTTTGAAATCTCGCCAAACTATAGGTTTCCGGAAGATATTTCGGGGAGATTATTTTGAACGTTATTTATTATTATTATTATATTTATTATTAGCGTTATTTTTATTTCAATTTTATTCTGATCTCTTGCTGTTAGAATCATCGTTATTTTTTCATTTTTTAACCGTTATTTCATTTATTTCCTTTATTATCTCATTTTTTATTTTTTTATGCAGCACCGGTTATTTTTTTTCGATTAAAAATATTATAATAAATTTATAATAAAATTGTTTTGTTTTTTTTAATAATCAAAAAGCAACGTTGATCCCAGTAATACAAGCCAACTTGGCGAGATTGCAAAAAGTCACCAAGAGGTGGGTTGTTCTATGATTTGACCCATTATGAAGTTTTGTATTTAATGAAAAGATATTTATTTACAATATTAAAATAAATTATAGGTTGACGTTCTCTTCATTGTAAAAATTGTGGTACAATTTCTATCTGAATTAAATATTTAAAAACTTCCATATGCATATGTAATGAATGCTTCATTCCAAATTAAGTTTGAATTGAACTTCCATATGCATTTTAAAGGCGTGTTTATAAATCTGAACACCAGGAAAGTTGAATGTTTACACCAATCTCACGCGCAATCACACAATTCATAGATTTGTATTGTCCTCCATAAACTGCAGTAATTTTAGCTACGTTTGGAAATATATTATTTACTATCGAGCTCGAGAAGGTCTAAGTTTGCTGTCACCTTGCACGCAGCGAAATATCCTGCAGAAGCATAGTCACAAAAGTTCATGGTCACAAAAGTAAGTATTATGACCGTGATCGTTTTAAATTCATTAGTGGATATGTACAGGTAGCATTATTGACTTTTTGTCAGTTAGATACGTTTTAATTTGGATGTAATAAAATGGTTATTGTCTCAGAGAAATAAATATGATTGTTTCAGAAAAATTAATTTAATTATTATTTAAAATGGCCATAANTATATTTCAAACATGCATTAGTTAAATGGATGTTGTGGTTATTACTTTGTGTGAAACGTGTTTAACAATAATCTCGTTTAAATTTATCTCTTACATCGAGAATTTTAGTTAGCATTTTTATTTTTAACGGTTGGGACTGGGTTGCCAAAAACGCAGTCTCCAAAAATTGGAAATTGAAAGTGAATTAATTGTTCCCAACGGACAGTTAAGAGCATGTGAAGAGATCCAAGGTTGGCGATTTATCGAAAGATAACATCGCCGCGACAGTGAATTAATGAGTCTTACATTAGTATTGAAATAAAAAGTTAGCCGCTACTTTGATCGATTAGAAAAATAGTAAAATATTTTATACTCATTTTTTAATAACTTGTAATAGAAAATTAACTAGTTGATTTAATTTAATTACATTATAATTTGATTAAGAATAATTCAAAAAATAAGTTTTAAGAAATTAAAGAAATTTTAAAAGCTAGGAAATGTGTAATGCCTATTGTGGTATCACACTGTTTCGATTTTATTTTCATTATCGCTAGAATGTCGGAAACTTTATTACTGAGATAAAGAATTTAATTAATAAATAGTTTTGATTTTAAACTTGCCAGTTTATTATGTTTTAACACAAATATAAAAACATGTGTAAGCATCATTCAGTGATGGGTTTTGATTTTATTTGTCTAGACATCATTCACATCACATAAACTGGTTTTAACGAATGATAAAACTTATTTAATAAATTATCTATCACCTACCTAATTAGTTATATTCAAATAAGAAACGTAGATAAATGGAATTAAATTTATTTTTTGACTAACAGCTAGTGAATTATTGTATAAAAATAAAGTTGATCTCTAAATTTTATGCAAAATAATATATTGAAATTAATTTAGTATATAGTTTGTTATAACAACTGGGAAGCTTTGTATTAAAAAAAACACAAATACATATTGCATTTGTTTTTATATTTTAAGGATTTTTAACTCATACATTTCAAACGAAATTTTTAAATTACGCAGGCATTCAATTTTTTTAGCAGTTAGGATTTTCCTTCCTCAAGAGTTTTTGCTATTTTATTCTGTTATTTAACTGTTACTTTAGTCAGTTTACTATTATATTTACATAGTTTACTTGACTGCATACTCTCTAACTATTACGGAATTTCCGTAGTTCCAGAAAATATTTTTCTTAGTTTATATAAGGATTATTTTGTCATATTTTAATAAATGTCAATAGTAAAATAATGAATACAATGCACAATATTTTAGGAAATAAAATAAATTCTTTAATTTGGAAAGAGAATTTTTGAGAAAATTTTTTCATAGAAGAGAACGTTTTTTAAGTTTTGCTTAAAATTTAGAAACAAATTTTTTCACCTGATCTTTTATTCTAAATATTTTGTTACCTTCCATTTTAATCGTTGATTTAAATGTGAATTTCAACAGAAAAAAAAACATATTTTGTAATTAGATGAAAATCTTTTTATTCCAAAATGTTAAGATATTAAATTTCAAATGGATGGTTGCAATGACTTTGTCAAAACTGTGAACATTTATTAAAACAATTTAATAAGTTACTTTTATTTTAATGCTCTTGGTATCAAGATTAGTGATAAAACGTACTTTTGATCAAATACTGTATTTCTTTTTTATTTTGTCAGCAGAAAAATATGTTAAATTTCAAGTTACTGTACTTTTAATTTGAATGGTATTAGTTGAAAATAGTTCAACTCAATGTTCGACAACAAAATTTTTGCAATAATAGTTTAGTCTATTTTTTTATATATATGTTTGTAGTAACCAAACCAATGTTAAATTAAGGAAGAAAAGTAAATTTTTAAGCCCACATAACGACATCTATATAATGAATATTAAAAATGATTCTTGATTATGGTCACTGGTTTGAATTTAATCCTAGACATAGGACAGATTAATACGGTGAATTTAGAAAGGGGCCCGCGATATTTTATGCCAAATCGTCTTATTCTAACCTCCATGTAAATATATCCTTTTATACTAGTCACATTGTATTCTTATCATTTTTAATTATCGAAGAACATATTTTGTTTTCTTGCTGAGCAAGTTTAAAATTTTTTTACAAATATATGGATGAGCCGCGATGGATCAAGGGATAGAGAGTTCGCTTTCCAATGAGGTGAACCGGGTTCGAATCTATACGAATTCCGCATCTGGCTTGCACCGACCACAGTGCTGACGTGAAATATCCTCAGTGGTAGACGAATCATGGGATAGAGTCCCCTTGCCGTCAGACTAACCGTGGGAGGTTCTCGTGGTCTTCCTCTCCATGTAACGCAAAGGCTGGTTAGTACCATGAAAAAGTCCTCCATGAAGGCAAATTTCTCCCAATACTTTATCCAGGAGTTTTCTTGTCTTCTAGATTGGGTTCAAAATTATAAGGCTACGGCGTTGAGCATTAGTAGTTGTGAACCCAAAAATTCGATTGGCTGTTCAATAACGGTTATAAAAAAAATTTATTATCATTTTTTATTTTCTTAAGGTTTTACTTAGACTAAAGTTTTAATTAGAAGGAGCTGTACATGCATTTTTAATTATCTGCAGTCATCAACTGCTGCAAATTTTCAGATAACGAAAAGTTTAGACAAATCAATTATATACTGTTGAAAATTTGGCAAATAATATTCATTTTTCATTTTTTTTCCTTAATTGAAAAAGTGTAATGAAATAAAAAAAATTAGTTACATTAATTGAATTAATTTAAATTTAGGGGAAAAAAACTCTAGGATCGTACGAACCGAAAATATCGGGAATACCGAGAATTGTCAGGAAAAGTAAGATTTAAAAAAAGTCGAGGAACTTTCAGAGAAAAACGCAATTTTACTCCTAAATCGAGAATTGTCAGGGAATTTGCTGCTGTGTCATATTGTGGGAATTCACTGTTCCGTTTTCAATATCATTTGCGCATGCGCAATAGAGAATTAAGAAAAATCCAATTTTTCTCTCTACAGACTGTAATTATCCTCAAGATTCTTATATTATTTTTAATCGTTTCTCGAGTGTTGCCAATCGGATGCCCGAGTTTAAGATCTTGAAACTTCTGCCTTAAGAGTATTGGGCTTGTATTTTTTTCTTCTAAATTCACTTTTGCTTCTCAATTATTTGCAAGTTTTTCCTGATTCGGAATCACAGCTACTTTCGTTAAAAATCGTCTGTTTTCATAAAAAAATAAAAACAGACGATTTTTTATTGATATAAGCCAGCAATAATTAATTGCTAAAAGCAGACGATTATTTAATGAAGCAGATTGCATTTTTCTCTTTTTGCAAGGGATAAATTTTTTATTCCACTACGTTTTCAGTGTTTTTTATTCGTTCACAATAAATTTCGTACTCTTTGTTCTGGGTAAGCTTATATGGCAGGGCTTTAATAAGATAAAATTTATATTAGCACTTATTTTAAATGTAGTTTCCGTTATGTAATTTTTCAGTGTTTTTATTTAATTTGATTGATAATTTTTTCTTGAATTTTATTATTTTCTTTTTTATTTATTATTAAGTATGATAAAAAAATTTTTTTTCTTTAATTATGTTTTACATTTATAATAATTCGGCTTAAATTTAACATATATTTGCTTGCTTCTTTTTCTGTTGTCTTGGTAGTTATCATTTAAAAAAGTTTTTTTCTGACATTTTTTTCACGAATTTTAAAGTCTTACCATCGTAATTTATATTTTTCTATCTTATTTTAGATTCATTTTTTAAAATAGAAAATCTTAATCATTCGTGGAGATTTTTTCTTCTCGTTTTTTCCCTTCTGTTCTTAAGAGCGTTTGTTAGTTGATTAAATACAACTTAATGTCAATTAAATACAGATTATTTTAAATTCTTAATTTTTTAAAAGTTTTTTAAATTTTTTTTAGGTTGACTTTGTAGATAAGTGAATTTTTTATTTTATTACTTTACAAATTCTGCCTTTCTTTTTATTTTATTTCTTTCAGCTTTTCTTCATATGTTAAGGGTAATTTATTTATTAATTTATAGCCAAGACTAAAATGTTGCGTTTTAATTGTTTATTTATACATTTATTTTTTGCTTGTCTGTTGATTAAAATCATTTTTTCTTAAGTTACTTAGCATATTTGATTCAACTTAATAAATATGGATTCATTTTAATTAGATATGGACTGTTTATATATTTGTTTTGTATTTTATATACCTACATACTATAAAATTGTTTTGTTGTTTATATATCTACTTGGAAAATTTAGGAAAAAAAAGGTCTTTTTGAGAATCAACCATGGAAAACTATGTAGCTAAAACAATGGTTCGAATATTTTAACTGAATTGTGTGTGTATCTATGAATAAAAGAATTGTTCTACTTAATTTTTAATTATTATTTTTATGCCTATTTTTATATACTTAAGTATATAAGAATAGGCATAAAAATATTAATTAAAAATTAATGTTTTTATGCCTATATATATTTTTATGCCTATATGGTATGCAGATATATAATTCATAGCTGTTAATATTCAATGCATACTAAGTGCATTTTTGTTGCAACTATATTTTTGTGTACTTATAATTGCAGATAAGAAAAGTAATGTGATAGGAGCAGAGTTAATAGCAACGCTTACAGTACTTGTGGCTCTATCCTTGCTGGCTGTAGCTGCAATAGTTGTAGTATATAGGAATAAAACTAACAGCATATCTCATGAAGGTATCAAAATATAGATTAAAAAATTTATTTCAAATCTAACGCTATGTATAATAATTTTTAAAGTTCAAGCATTTCAATCAGTCTTTCCTAAATTATGACTTCAAAATAGATATCAAATAGATTATTTCATATTCACAGACCTTATTTTAATAGTGGTTCAACTCCATTTTTTAAAGAAATGGAATTATCTTAGGTTTCATTTCTAAGTAATTTATTTTAAAACTATAGCATATTTCCAGCTTACTTCCGCTGTAAATAAGAAAAATGCGCAAATGAGAAAATTTAGGGAAGAAAGACAATAAACCCATTAGCTATTAAAAATATTTGATAAAATCCTAGAATACCCCACTCCTCGGCGACGTTTTGAAATCTCGCCAAATTGGCGATCATTACTTGGATCAATATTGTTTTTTATTATTAAAAAAACACTTTAAATTATTACAAATTTATTTGAATATTATTAATAAAATAAAGTAATAATTCGCAATACGGTTGCTACATATCTCCCCGTAATATCTTCCAGAAACCTAGTTTGGGAGGATTTCAAAAAGTCGCCACGTGCTGGGCTATTCCAGGATCCACCAAAATATTTCAATAAAATTCACACGTGGAGTTAGACCATTATTCAAATCCGACAATAATTCCTTCATTCTTTTTATTGACGTTGAATTTAATTTGTTTACATATGTATTCTGTAAGAAGTATGACATTTACTTTGCTTTTTAAATCCGATTTTAAGTCTGTTTATTGGGACGGAAATCGATGTAAATTTATATAAGAGTGTTTCTAGATTATCTACCAAAGCCAAAATCCTTGATCGTAGCATCAAAACATTTTGATGGTTTATGTTGGTTTCAGTTTGTTTCATGATGGTTCAACATCATTTGACGATCACCATCATCCTACATTTTCCATTATGCGTTCATGGTTATGCCAACACACTTCCATTATTCAACGATGGAAAATGCTTTTTTAATACAATGATGTTTACCCATTAAAAGAAGTATGATTCTCATGGATCAACAATCCAGGTTGATACGTGATGATTCCTACTATACATTTCCATGATAGTTTAATGAAAATTCTTGTTGGTTCTCAGGAATATACAATCAAAACAATTTTTTGATGTCGGCCCATCATAAATCAGTCCGAATCCCTAAATTGGGATGATGGCTGTTCATGATCGTTCCAGCATTTGATTTCTGAGATATTATGATGGAAGTTCGTAATGGTTCATAATAGTAACAATAGATTTCTATGAGGGCTTAATAGTAATTATTGTCGGTTCTACAGCAATGTACTACCTAAACTAAACTCAGTGGCGCGACAGCCCATAGAGTGCCAAGGCCTACTGTGCCCATCTCAGTTTTCTTGACCTTGGGCTCTGGGGTGCAGGAGCAGATGTTCCGGTCAGGTGGTCTGCCGAACGCGGAACCCCCAGTGTTTAGTTCCCAAGCATGCTTGGTACTCATTTATCGACCCACTGAAGGGATGAAAGGCTGAGTCAACCCTGCCCGGCCCGAGGATCGAACCAGGGACCTGTGGCACNCAACATCATTTGATGGTCACCATCATCCTACATTTTCCATTATGCGATCATGGTTATGCCAGCACGTTTCCATTATTCAACGATGGAAAATGCTTTTTTAATACAATGATGTTTACCCATTAAAAGAAGTATGATTCTCATGGATCAACAATCCAGGTTGATACGTGATGATTCCTACTATACATTTCCATGATAGTTTAATGAAAATTTTTGTTGGTTCTCGGGAATATACAATCAAAACAATTTTTTGATGTCGGCCCATCATAAATCAGTCCGAATCCCTAAATTGGGATGATGGCTGTTCATGATCTTTCCAGCATTTGATTTCTGAGATATTATGATGGAAGCTCGTAATGGTTCATAATAGTAACAATAGATTTCCATGAGGGCTTAATAGTAATTATTGTCGGTTCTACAGCAATATACTACCTAAACTAAACTCAGTGGCGCGACAGCCCATAGAGTGCCAAGGCCTACTGTGCCCATCTCAGTTTTCTTGACCTTGGGCTCTGGGGTGCAGGAGCAGATGTTCCGGTCAGGTGGTCAGCCGAACGCAGAACCCCCTGTGTTTAGTTCCCAAGCATGCTTGGTACGCATTTATCGACCCACTGAAGGGATGACAGGCTGAGTCAACCTTGCCCGGCCCGAGGATCGAACCCTGGACTTGCGGCACGGGAGCGTGAATCGCTACCACTCAGCCACTGGACATCATAATGTACTACCAAAACATTTTTATTTTAAGTTGGTAAATCAAAAATCAGACCGAATTCCTACATTGGGATGATGGTGGCTTATGATTGTTCCAACATTTGATTTCTAAAACTATGATGGAAATTTATGATATTTCAACATGAATAAACCATCAAAACAAGTTGCAATTATGTTGGACCATCATAAATCAGATCAAATTTCTACTTCGGGGTGATGGTAATATTGATGGCTACCATCAAGATTATGTTAGTCCCTCAATGGAAAACCATCAAAAAAGTTTGTCTTGGGGTAAATACATGTATATATTTTTTAAAGATTAATAAATAATTCATCTTACTGGATAATATATTATCCCACATATACATTAATCCTACATATTCACTTAAATGGATGCATAGTAACTAAATAATCAATTAGCGAGATGTTAATTGAACAGTGTTCAGCATAACTGTTGCAATTTTACAACTTAAAATAAATATTTTAACAATGGGCGAAATTTCCAAAAAAGAGATAATGCTAAGTTTTTACTTTTTACAGTTTAATATTTCTATAAATGTAGTTCGTACTCAGTTAAAAAGCCCTGTGTTTTATTAAATGAAGATCACTACGTTTTTCTAAATAAAGAACAAGTAGCTTTCATTTATGAAGAATTAGATTTAATGAATATTTTTATTAGTAATTTTACTAAAATTGTTTATTAATTACTTAAGAAGTTTTACCAATACTATTTAGAATTTTGTATTAAGTACTTATGAAAGAATATATTTCCCTTGCAGTAAAATAACTTGGGCCTTTATTGGACCAATATTCAAGAATTTTGGCTCAATAAAGGGCCATTATTTTTCCGATATTGGCCTCGTATAGAATTTCTGATTCACCCAATATTTTTATTACTACCAATATCAGTCTTATATAGAATTATCAGATGCACCCGATATTTTATATCCATTTTTTAGTCAGTATAGGTTTGATGTTGGCCAATGTAGGCCCTATATAGGTCATTCTAAGACCTATATTACAAAATATTGACCTCCCAATGTTGGTCTTTCAGTGCGTGTTCGTATAGGACCCATATTGAGCTAATTTTGAGCCCAACGGGGCCAAGGTAAAATTATTGCTAGGGTTAATGTATGAAAAATTTAAATTATTCTTAATGTAAGGCAGCATTTTATTTATGAGAAGGAAATATATATTCATTAATTCTACGAAATATTCAAAGAAACATCTAAAGCACTATAAAATGTATTTTTATACAAACATATTTTATGGAAATATGGTGAACAATTTTAATAGTGGTTAATTAATAAATATTTTTACAAAACCTGTAAAAATGCTGACAATAAAATTAATAATTTAATGTAAAAGACCTGTAAGTGTCATCAACTCAAGGCAGATGGTTCTCTCATGCTCTTTGAGTGGCCACGTCAAATCCCTTATAGTTTGTCTACGGGACGAACTCCCCCCGCCACAAAGTCTAAGGTTGTCTGCTGCTATGGAAACAAGAAGGACTCTTCACTCTCTAGGGCTCACACAGTGGACCGAAGAAAAAGATTCCCATTCTCTCGCTGACCAGGGCCAAAACCTGTTCTAAACAATGATCCCTCACCCCTACTTGAAATAACTATACCTCGTTACTATAGTCACCGCCACGGGTTCAGACGAATGGCTACAGGAGTTCTTACTTTAGACAAACTATTATGCCTTTCAGCAGTGGGGGGGAATACTCTTTCCGGCGTGTCATTGGAGCAAGGCTGTTCAGACTTAACCATATTGATAAATGCGTAGGTTTTATTGTTCCCGAAACTGTAAGGGATAAATATTTCTTTTTAGAATTTTTTGGTTTTATGGAGATTGTGTAGTTTAGCCAATCTGTGATTCGAAACAATATATTTCAATTTATGTTTCAAATAAAAACTGATATTTTAATATTAATCATACCTGTTTTTTTTCAGTACGAGTTCCTCAAAATGAAGTTATAGAAAAGTAAGATTTACTTCCAATTTCTTAATTTTGTTCTGTCAGTTCATAATTAAATTATTTTATTTAAATGCCGTTAATAATAATAAAAAAAATTTTGCAATTCTCATCGAAAACCTTATTAATTTTTAATCTATTTCAATACTTTTTTTAAAATTTCAGAAATTATGTTAGCCTTAATTTTTTTTACAAAATGTTACTTTTAAAAATTCAAACTGCTGTAAAGAAGATATTTTATAGGCGGGTAAGGCTATTTAACCCCAAAAAAAGTTTTTCTTTTGCATCTTTTTTTACAGTGTAAAGTTCAAAAATATTACTGTCCAGTGGTCTCTATATTTCGATAGACAAAAATACAAATCCGTCAAAAAAAGTAACTATGTGAAGTAACTATGTAAGTAAAAGTAAGTTTGATAACTGAAAATATGTTTTTGTGTCTTATTCTGTAAATTAATTAACATTTCAAAATAAACAATTTGCCTATACGAAATTGTTCTTTTGAACCATTATGATCTGCACTTATTTTGCAAATATCCGATCATTAGAAGAAAAAGTATTTAGAGTTGCATCTTTATTTTGCGCACTGTACAGGTAGTACAGTCGCTGGCCAAATTATTAGATGTACTATAAGATTCTATGTAAAATCTTAGTTATCATGTGATACTATACACTCTTATTTTTTTTAACGCGGCTGAAACCGGTTTGCACTTGTTTATGTTCGTGTATCAATTGATTAACGTAATGCAATACGTTGAAAATTAATACAAATAGGGAGTATATTAAAAATCTCCCGTATAAAAACCTATTACACGCATGTTTAAATATAAAAGTATTGCCTATAAACTCGTACAAAACATGCAAGTATTAAAACACTACAGTGTGTCTAATAATTTGGTCTAATTATTATAATATACTAATAGAATACCTAATATAATAAATATTCTATATTTATATAATATATCGTCTAATTTATTCAATTGTCGAATTTATATTATGTATCGTCTAATTTAAGCAATTGATATACGAACATAAGCAAGTGCAAACCGGTTTTAGTCGTGTAAAAACAATACAGATGTATAGTATCACCTGATAATCGAGATTTTGCATAGAATATTACAGTGCATCTAATAATTTGGCCAGAGACTGTATAATTATTACGCATTTCAAATATTTATTATATTTTGTAAAGCAATACGATTAACAAAATAATTTACGTTTAATAAAATGTAAAACAACATTTATGAATTGAAAAATATTATCTTCAAGTTTGCAATTGATTGATTTGAGATGACTATAATTTATTCATGAATTTCAATCATAAATAATGTCATACAATCACATAAATAGATAAAAAATACTGACCTCTATTTCATTGATGTAACTTCCTAAATTCTTTTTAGAACAGATGTTCCAAATCCTTAATTTTATAAAACACACATAATAATTATTTGTTTTTTTAAGTCGACATCACAAATAGTTTTGGTGTAAAATGCGTTAAATGGATTTATATACTAATTTATTGTTTATTTTTCAGAAGTCCAAAACCAACGAGTTTTTTTATTCATGAAAACAGTCCATATTCCTATCATTCAACTGAAGTTTCAGCAGGTATGTAAACAAATGTTTTTTATTTATGTCTGTAAAAACATTCCATACGAAATAACGTCGTCAAAACTTTTCAAAACGAATTTTTTTTATACTTTTAGTATTTTATATTAATGAGAGCTTTTCTCTTAAAGTAACACAATGAAATGAAAAATATTTGTTACTATTATTCCAATGTGTTTAGACTATCAAATTTGAGAAATGAAATTAAGGTCAAAATACAAATCGCAACTAATTTTTTCGTAGTAAAAACGGACACTTAAGAAAATAGTTTACTGTATAAATGAATTCTTCACAAAGTATTTTATCATAAAAACAGACCTATAAAATGAAAGAATTTTGTTACTATTACTTAAATGTGTTTCAATTATCAAATTTGGGAAATGAATTTAAGGTCAAAAGGACATCTCGCGACTAATTTTATCGTAGTAAAAACGGGCTCTTTAGAAAATAGTTTATTGTAAAATCGAATTCTTCACAAATTATTTTATCTTAAAAACAAACTCTTTCAAATATATTTTATCATAAACACGGACTATTTACAAAATATTATATCTAAAATAAAAAAATATTATATCTAAAATCAAAGAATAATTTATTAACACTTAATGAACAATTCCTTTTCAAAAATCGAGTGAGTTAATGACGACTAAACTTTAAAGTAAAACTTATTTTAATTAAATAAGTTCTGCTTTAAGTAAAGATAAAATAAACAAGTTTAGAACTGAATAGCTTTTAAATTCTTGAAACATACATTTATTTTTGTATAACAAAGGCTAGAAATAATTTTTACACATTCACATAAAAGGAACTTGACATGAATGCTATTCTACTATAATTTTAGATTCAGAAAATGAGCAAATATTTTTAAAAATTAACAACAGGATTTTTTACAAAAATTCTGAATAGATCCCTAGTTCTTATAATACATGATATAAAAAGAAAGCAAACCCACTTCGAACAATTAAGGGTAGATACTCCAAATTCCACTTTGCATTTACATTTTTATATTATTTTTAAATAATCATTTTTTTTTTCAATTTCAATTCCAATAAACCAAGGCTCCGGTTCAGAAACATAGGTTATGAGATAAGGAGTTTTTTTTAAAAAAAATATTCCTTGACATTTTCAAACCTTTAAATTTAATCTTAAAAAAAAACAATATTTTAAGAGTATTTTCTTAAACTTAAGCCACTCGGAGTAAAACTCTGGGAGAAAGAGCGAGAGGATGTAGAGATTCTTGTCGGTAGGATCGATTGGCTGAAAACGAAAAATGGATTGTCAGATAACTCCATTTCGAAAATCGTTGAGCACAATTGATCAAAAAAGCTAATGCACCTTATCTTATTTAAATTGTGTACAGTTACGTAGAAATTGAACAAGTGGACAAATATTTTTTTTTTCTTTGACAACAATTGACTTCAAATTATTTCGCATTTTTTTTATTTACTTATTTTATTGTTACATACCAATAACACTAAACTCAACTGCAAAAGGCGTGGCATAGTAGTAGTACCTGTTATCGTATAAAAGATAACTCCGATCCGGAATTTGTGGAATATTATTTGGAACAAATAATGACGTCAGAACTACGATGATTGCAAATCTGTGGAGTCAAAAGCCGGAATTTTTTATTTTATAACAGTCGTTGAACAGCCGACCCAATTTAGGGTTTGCGACTGCTAATATTCAACTCCGTAGCCTTGTAGTTTTAAACCCAATCCAGAAGACAAGAGAACTCCTGGATCACTACCCCCAGAGGTATGATTTGTTAAGGGAACATGGAGGACTATGTAACCTGACAGATTTGATGTGCATCAGTCACCATTTACTACACGGGGAGTCTTCGGAAAGCGGGGATCGAACCCATAACCTCTTGGACCTGGGTCTAGTGCCCTACCAACCAAGCTATCCCAGCCCTAAAAGCCAGAACTTATTTACGAACTACGAAAAGAATGCAGACTACATTTATGAAAGTATATGTCATAGACATAGACTAATTTAAAAATTGACCTCCTTGCAATGTGCCAAGATTAATGGGAAAATTTTCAGTGTTTTCTAATTTGCTCTATATTTTTAGGTTAGACTGTTTTCGAAAAAAATATTGACTAATTTGCATATGTTTATTGCATTATACCTTTATTAAGGAAATTACGTCATGGCAATTCTGTGTCAATTGCAAAATACCTTAAATGATTCAGACGCATTCCCTGATTAGCCTGAAGTTTTGTGGATATTCTGCAATAAATATAAAACGTTTTAGGCAGATTATAAAATGCGCTAGATACTTATCCCATTATGGAAAAGAAGAGTGGCTGGTTGCGTAAATCTATTAATTTAGCATACGGTATTAGTCTAGACATGCTTTAAATGAAAGCACAGTTTTTTTAAAAAAGGGAAAAAGGAATTTTTTCATTTCCTTTTTCCCTTACAGTAGAATATAGAAAATAAATAATGGATATTATTGTTCCATTTGGCGATACTAAACTGTAAGTGAAATGTGATGCTAATATATATATATATACAGTTAAATTTCGAATAAACAGAGTATTAGTGCAAACTGATAATTTGAGATGAATTTAAAATTATAAGATAAATTATTACTATTCCTTCAGATTATATTGATCTAGACATAGTTTAAAGAAAAGCACAGCTGTTTAAAAATAAAAGAAAAACTATATTTTTCCCTTACAGAAGAATTTAGTAAATAAATAAAGTATATTATTGTTCCATTTGGCGATACTAAGCTGTAAGTGAAGTGTGATGCCAATATATAGAATTAAATTTCGAGAGTATTAGTTCAAATCGATGTACTGAGATGAGTTTGAAATTATAATATAAATTATTACTTTTCTTTTAGAATATATTGATCTAGGCATAGTTTAAATAAAAGCACAGTTGTTTAAAAAAAAGGAAAAATGATTTTTTCTTTCATTTCCTTTTCCCCTTACAGTGGAATTTAGAAAATAAATAAAGTATATTATTGTTTCATTTGGCGATGCTAAGCTGTAAGTGAAGTGTGATGCTAATATAAACAATTAAATTTCGAGAGTATTAGTTCAAACTGATATACTGAGATGAATTTAAAATTATAATATAAATTGTTACTTTTCTTTCAGAATATATTGATCTAACGACAAAAACTTCTCCTGAATTTCTGTATGAAACGTCAATTGTTAAAAAATCAGTTCAATATGAGATAAGCATGTGTAAGCCATGCATACAAGAAGAAGAGGTAATAAACATTTGAATTGAAACTTTAAGATTTTATTGTTTATTTCTGGCAATTGCCAACAGTAGAAGATATTTGAGTTATTCATTCCTAATTTTTCATCTCAGAAACAACCCACGTAGCATAAAAGGGCAAATAAACGTTGAAAATACGTTAGAAAGTTATAAGGTTATGGACTTAGAGTTAAAATTACGTCAATTTTAACGTTAGTACGTTATAAGATTTTGGACTTGACACAAAATTGACATAATTTTAACGTTATGATTTTCACCCTTGGATCATTTGTTAAAATGTATACCTGTTTTACCTTTAAATATTTCGTTAAAAATACGTACTAAAAGTACGCTATTTTAGCGTGCATATTTTTCGACAGTTTTTTAAAAACGCTTTATTTCGAAAATTTACGTCTTGTTGCATAGTCATATTTACGTTAATTTGTTGCGATTATAAACGTAAATTCAACGGTAAAAATGTTTCGATAAGAAAAACAAAAATAGTTTTCTTTTTAGCTATTTCGTAAAGTAGTTCGATAGACGAAAGATGTTTCTGCATGCAGTGATTTACCTGTTTGTTTTTTTAAATTTCTTTTCCACGAATAATGTTTTTAACATCGGCTTTGCTTTTTCAGCATATGTGATTAGGTATCAAAAAAAGGTTTATTTTTGTTAGAAGTGTGATAACACAATAAAATAAGTATTTTTTTACACACTGAAAGAAAAATAAGATACGAAAATAATATGCAAACTTTTATTTACCGAAGCTTTGAAACACATATTTTTCCTTGAATACTTTTTTTAAAAATTTAAACCATCAAAATAAGATGCTGTATGTGTTAAATGGTGACTAAATAAAGGAAATTTTATTTTTATTACATCTTCGCATTTTCAAATTTTTACAAACTGTGTGAAATCATTTATTAAAAATTACCTTAACTAATACGGACTACTTTTCTGTACCTTATACTACAATATTTCCCACCATGGGGATCATTAATTAGTAAATTAGTATTCAAACAAAAGAACAAACTAAAAAAACGGTAAGGAACTCCTTGAATCAATTTGACACTTAGAGACATTTCGTTTCTAATTATCCCATTTCAACCCTTTTCTTATTTTCCACCATTCTTACAATTTCTTTGTTTTTGGTCCTGCAATCCTGACTATAGTTTGTCTTCGGTAAGAACTCCCCCGTCACAAAGTCTGAAGCCGTCTGCTGCTATGAAAACAAGAATAGCGCATTTCAGGGAGGGTAGCTTCTCTACACTCCAGGGCTAACACAATTGACGGAAGAAAAAGATTCACTTTCTCACTCCGACCCGACCTTAAACATGCCCTAAACATTGATCCCACATCTCTACTTTAAATAGTTATACCTCGTTACCATAGTCACCGCCACAGGCCAGACGAATGGCTAGCGGAGTTCTTACTTTAGACCAGGGATGGCGAACCAATGGCACGCGTGCCATTTACGGCACGAGAAACACTATTTTGGGCACGCCACCGATCACAATTGTTATTACACTATGAATTGTTATTACACAAATGTTATTACACTATGAAGCATATTTAACAATTAAATTAAAATTCACAAAAAAAACAAAATAATAAGCAATTATTAATAAAAAAATTAACAATTAATGCTAAAAAAACAATTAACAACCATAAAAAGCAAGCTGACAATAAATAACTAGCAACAAAAAAAAATTAACAGTTCCGCTTAAACTAACATCTTACAACCTAATATAAGTTATTTGTCATCGAATCTACAGCAA